GGTGGCACCACATCTGTCACACACCTCCTGACCCTCCAGTGTGACGTGTCCCATCTGGGGCACCCTAACATGCCTCCGTTTTCCTTCAACACCGGGCTCCTGTGCCCCCGGTGGCTGTCACCTGCTTTGGCACACAGACTCTCATGGAGCCTAGCCTTGTTTTTTGTCCTACCAAGTATCTGCACACAGGGCCAGACCAGGGCTGCACTTAATCGCCCTGAAATCCACGTGAAGGGCATGCAGAATCACAGGAGCACCGACAGACATCAGTGTGTACTGTGCACCTGACCTTCACAACTGGCCCAGGTTGCAGGTTCTCACCATTTCCCAACTGAGAAACCAGGGCTGGACTGATAGAGCCAGGACTCAAACCCAGCTCTAACTCCAGAGCCTGGGACTCTGTCATGGCTCAGGGCTCCCGCAGATGCGGGACGAGGCCCATGGCTGGCACATGGCACTTACCAGCTGTCTCCCCTCCACTCCCCACTCTCATCTGGGCTCCACCACAGAACCTGTGGCCAGGTGGCCATCACTGCCACCTGGCTCCTTCTCTCAACCTCCCTACCAGGAGCCTTACCTCCCAGAGGGCCCTGGCCTCACCCCAGGGGCATGACCCTGCAGGCTCCTGCCACTCAGCCCCCTGCTGCCACTCATATCTCCACAGCTGTGGCCCATTGGCATCTCCCTGAAAGGTCAGAGCTACCTGCACAGGGTCACCTTCTGTTTCTCCATCATCACACACTCTCTCAAACCAGCTCTGCCCTCAGCTCAGTTCAGAGAAAAGAACTCCGCCAGGCCACCTGGGCTCCAGTGTGACTCTAGCCAAAGCCCTTTCTTCTGTCTTGTGCCTGAGAGCCACAAGCACAGACACCTCCTACAGTGAGGAAGACCCTTTGTCAAGGGGAGTGCAGTTTTAGGTATTCACTAACCACGAAGCCCTCCCCCACCCTCATTTTCCAGGTGCCAACTCCTCCGGGGGTCCCCAGGTCTCACCTTGCAGTTGGGTTTGCAGTCTGGAGCCAGTGGAAAGTGCGGATGGGGGAGAGAAGAGACTCATGTAAACCCAGGAGCTAGAAGGCAGCATGCCACCCCTCCCTTCCCCTTGCCCCTCCTCCCCCTACCTCCCGGGGCCCTTAGCACTGCACCGTGGTTGATGAAGGCAGCAGGGCCAAGCCACAGCTGGGCACTGCGCTTGCGGGTGGAGTACATGATGCTGAAGTCGTTCTCACCGGCCCTCAGCAGCCCCTCATCCGCCTCCCGCAGCTCTGCAATGCAGCCCACCAGCAGCTCCAGCTTCTCGTTCTTCTTCCTGCCAAGAGGTCAGGTCCAGGCCTATGAGCAGGTCCTCCCTGGACTACTGTCCCCTGGAAAGAGCCGGCACCGTGCTCCACTTACTAAGTCTCTCAAGCCCAACCCAAGTGCCTCTACCCTTGCCCCACCAGGCAAGCACACCATACCTCTGCCTGCTGAAAGCCATCTCAAAGGCACCCTACCCTGTGGACAGCACCCTGCATCCTCTCCCCTTGCATTTTGCTCCTCCAGGACCCCTCCTGCCTCAGGCCTCCCACAGCCTGGTCTTTTTGCTGGACTCAACTTCCACCGCCACGGACAGCCCCTTCACCAGGCCTCGGGGCTCATCCCATGGGTCGCAGCCAAGGCCTGGCTCCTCTAAACACTCAACACTCTCTGGCCAGCTCCTAAAGTTCGAGCAGCTGCGGTCAGTGCCTGTGTGTCCACTTGGCTACCTCCCACCGCCCCGCCATGCTGCGTGCAAGAAGGGCCCATGGTGCTGGCTGTCCTGCCCCGCACCTGCCCAGCAGTGCCTGCTACCTGACAGGGCTTGGGTCAGGGTGAAGAAAGAATGGCACCATCCTGGGCCCAAGGCCAGGCTTTTGGGGGCCACTGCAGGAACTGTGGGGGGGTGGTCTCATCCCCCAGCAGAGCTGCGGTGAGCAAGGGTGAGGAAGATCTTCAGGAGCAGGCCACGGCTTCCTTCTCAGCAAGAAGGGACAGGTCTTGACCAGCAGACAGGGGTGGGGTGGGGTCATCAGGAGTCCTGCCCTCTTACCAAGCTCGGGTAGACACAATCTTGGCTCCATTAGTCTCCATGGAATAGCGGGTACAGGGCAGGATGGTAAAGCCGCTTTCAGGCAGGAAGGCACGGAGGTAGCGATAGATCTGGGGGAGGGGAGGGGGTGGGCGGGGTGAGGTGGTAGGGCAGGGTCGTCCTCGGCCCTCTCTCTCCTGGGCTCTATTTCTGCTCTGCCACTGACTCGCTGTGTGGTCTCAGGGACTCATTTTCCCTCTCGGGGCCTCAGTTTCCTCATCTGTCAAATGAAGAGGTTGGACTCCATCTCAGAGGGCCCTCCAACTCTCCTCTCCTAGGATTCTCTGGGCCCCGCCTCATGGTCCCAGTGACTAGGAAGTCAGGGAGTCCCGGGGGCTGTGCTGAGGGGCACAGGGTCTGGGGCTCCATGGTTACTGGGGAGAACAGGTGCGCAGGGCGGGTAGGGGGAGAGGGGTCGCCCTCACGTGGATCTTGAGGGCTGCCTCCTGCCGCGGGCCCCGGCTCTGGAAGTAGTGGGTCATCCAGCCTCCCAGCGTCAGGGCCCGGTATGCAGCCTCCAGGTCCCGCTGTCTCAGGAAAGCCTCCAGTGCTGAGCGCAGGTGGTGCTGTCGCCTCAGGGGGGGCACAGGGCTGGGGGAGAGGGCATGCCTGGGTCCCAGGGCCTTGGCCTATTCCCTCCTGGCCTTCCCGGGCCCCGCCCCCACCCCCACTGGGGCTGCTAGTGGAAGGGATCCGGTCCCCAGCCCTTAGTCTGTGTGCCTCCTGCAGGCTGCCTCACCTGACATTCATCTTATGGGTGCGGAAGCCCAGGTAGGGGTCCAGGACTAGGCTGGTGGCAAGGTCATCGTTCTCACATAGTTCTCTGGCTGTCACTCTGTCGGGCCCCATGGTGCCCCATGGACCATGCTGCCTCCGGTCCAGAGTGGGGAGCACAAAGCAGGGGCTGGGGCGGCGCCCCGGGCGTATGCTTGCTCCCCGCCACTTATAAGCTGTGAGGGACTTTGTTGGGCCCTTCCGTCTCATCTGTAAATGGGGAAGAAAAGCAACACTGACTTCACAGGGTCCTCAGTGCAGGTGAAATTCAACAAGTGGCTCTGACATTGGGGAAGCCCCCACACAAGTACCAATCTCCCTCATTAAGACCTCCTTCTGCTCTGGAGCAGACACAAAGCCCCCAACACACACAGACACACACACAGACACACACAGACACACACACACACACACACACACACACACACAGATGTGTCCCAGGGAAGGCTGATTAACTGGCAGTCTGGAATGACCCTGAAGGCTTAGCCCTGCCAGAGCTGGGAGTCAGGGAGCCCAGCCTCACCTCTGTCCCTCACTAAGGAAAAAGCCAAGGCCTCCACCCCCCAGGACAAATAGTCCCTCCGCCCACTTGCAGTCTCCACCTCCCCTCCCCAGCAACCCAGGGAGTCGTTAGGAGGCCCTGGATGAAGCCCCAGGCAGCCTGGAGTGGGGTAGGGGAGGGTGAGCAGAGCAGGGATCCTAGCACCTGCTCCCTCTCCAAGGATTCCGGGGGAGGAGGGCTCGGAGGACAAAGCGGGGGCGGGGAGGGGGGTGGGAGAGAAAAAGAACAGTAAGGAGAGGCAGAACAGGTCCACAAAAAGGGAAGAAGGGGATTCGCAAAACGAAACAAAAACAAGACCCCTAACTCTGCCCGTGCAGGACCTGCTGGGCACCCAAACCACAGGGCTTCGGGGAGAGTCGATGGGAGACGGCAAAGGGGTAACTGAAGAGGGCACGGGGGCCAGAGCGGCTGGGAAAGGGGATCTGGAAGACAGGAAGGCTGGGGATTAATAAAGAGGCGGCGCTGCGGGAGGGCGCTGGGACAGGGCGGAAGCTGCAGAAGGGAAAGTGAGTGAAGACAAAATAGAGGCCGCACGGAGGGGAGGTGGGGTAGAAAGAAGAGGGGACAGAGAGGGCTGCGGGAAGGCTTGGAGACCCAAGGAGGTGCCCAGGAAAGCCAGACCAGAGACCTGGGGTGCACGGAAAGAAAGCAGAGAAGGGCCTGCGGGTCCAGGGAGGGTCTTGAGAAGATCTAAGCAGAACTAGAGCCCAGACGCGGCTTGGAGAGACAGAGGAGCAGAGCAAGTCCTGGGGACCCAAGGAGGCGCGTAGGAAAGCCGCGAGAGCCTGGGGTCTAGGGAGAGCCCTGGATAGGCAGGGAGGGTCCGGGAGGAAATTGCGGGAAGCAGAGAGCGGCCTGGGGATGCAGCGAGTGTAGGGGAAGGGCCTGGGGTCCAAAGAAGGGAGTGAGTCCCCGGGCACGCTGAGGGTGCAGGGAAGGGCCTGGAGAGAGGGGCCCCGAGGGAGGCCGGGTTTCGGGAGCGGCCTGGTGAGGAAGCACGGGGACGGCTGCACGCCGAGGGGCCAGGAGACGAGGTCGCCTGGACACGAGGAAGGGCCGCGAGCGGCAGGGGTCAGGCGGGGGTGGGGGCGACCGGGAGCCAAGGCGGCGTGGGGCGGGGGCCGAAGGGGCTTGGAGGTCAGACCCGCGCTGCCCCTCACCCGCTGCTCCTCCTCCTCCTCCTCCTTCTCAGGCGCCCGCAACGCCGCCGCCACTACCTCCCACTGCCTCTTCCAGCTCTCGTCAGACACCCGTCGCCACGCCTCCACCTGCTCCGCCCCGCCACGGCCACCGCGGCCTCCCGTTGGTTCACATTGCCGCCACTCCTCAGTTGCTGTGGCGCTCATGCTTCTCTTATTGGCCGAGCCCACTCTGCCCCGCCCCTCCAGCCTCCCGGCAGTGCCCCCACAAAGCCCCGCCACACCCGCGCTGCCCTCCCGCGCCGCCAACCGCTGCCATTGGCTTCCGCCACTGTCTTTCGGCCGCTGCCATGGAGACGTATCCCTGCCCACGACCCGAAGTCGGCGCCCTCATTGGCCAAAAGCGCGGTACCTTGGGTTCGGGTCGGGTTATTCCTGTCCAAGTGGAAAGAGGGCGGGCTCTGCCGGCTCCAGAACCTATGTGTGTTTGGCTGGACTTGGAGTAGCTCATCTTTCCATTGGCGAAGGTCTCCGCCCGTCACCACGGAGTCGCGACCTCCGTATTCCTTTTCTCCAGTGAAACCTTCAGTAGCCCGAGGGCGAAAGCGGGAGTGGGCGGGAGGGGTGAGTGCGCACGCACCTCCACGCACCCCCCCCACCAACTCCCGCCATGGGAGGCCTGCGGTTGCCTAGGCGACAAAACTTTTTTGACAACCTTGCCCAGGTACAAAGGGCTCTCACTCGCCCTCTTGGGTCACCTTCTCTCTCCCAAAGACCCCATTTAATTTTGGGAGGACTCAATTTGTGGGTGAACAGATCGAAAAGAGAAGTAAGGGCCTTGGAGAAAGCCCTGACTCATGGGACCCTCCCATGAGGCACCCCCTCCCCAGTAGGCATCACCCCTCCCTCCAATCCTAGAAACAAACATAATTAGCAATTCGTCATATTATGCCCAGAATAATAAACTCCGCACTTGGTGCAGGCAGTCTTTGTTTGACTGCTATTTATCTTGCCCGGAGTAGGTGGTGTCTCTGTGGCATCCCTCTGTGAGGGCTGGGGAAGGAGGTGACTCTGGGCCTCTCTGGGCCTCAGGCTTGCATCTGTAAAACAAGGACCACACTGCTCCTGCTCTGAGGGGTCCTCTTTAACACCCTCCCAGGTGTCCTCCATCCCCACTTTCAGCCTCTTACCCTCTATTCATACTGTTTCTTCCCCAGATGGGACCGCCCCCCAGCTCTGAGACACTTTACCGCCACCCCCAGATAAGACGCCAGAGAAAGGGAGCCTGCAAGCAGAAAGGACGGTGCTTAGCTGTCTGGAAAAGTCCTATTGGCATGACTGAATCTTGAGATTACAACTTCCATTCATGGGTGTATATCCTAGAGAAGCTCTCACAAACGTGAACGAAAAGATAAGCACAAGAATGCTCGCGACAGCAGTGTCTGTAACGACGAAAAACTGGAACCGGTCTTAAACGTCCACCACATGAAGAATGGATCCATGGATTGTGGCATTCATAGGAGGGACAGGATGCTGCTATACAGCGGTGAAAGAGGCTGCACGAGCCACTCCATACAGCAAACTAGACAACTTACATCGTATGCTTCTAGTTGTAGAATGCAGCAAGTTTTAAAACATAGAAAACAAAGACTGTGTGGATACATGCAAATGTGCACAAATATGCAAGTGTGTGATAGGGGTCTGACAAGGGTGGGGGATGCTAGTGGTGACCCCTCAGGGGTCGGGCAGAAGGCATGCAATCAGGAAAATGACATTGTTACTTGCCCTTTTTATTTTTTTAAGCTGGGAAGCAGAAACTTCACTATATTCACTATCTGTTCTTTTTCTACATGTCAGAAATGTTTCATCATACAGCTGAATGTTTGACCCACTAAAACTACTTCCAGGCTTTTATTCTAAAGAAATCACTGGAGAAGTGTTAAAATATTTATATATAAAGATGTGTGTCTTAGCATTGTTTAAAAAACAGAAAAATAGGAAAAGCCTGAATGTCCAACAGTAATAATTGCTTGGATCAATTACAGCATATCCACCATGTGCAATCACAATAACTAACAGATACCGAGCTCTTCGCACACGCCTGTCACTTTGCAAACAGCCCTGCGAGGGAGGGGCTGTTACCCCCTTTTTACACAGGAGCAAAGAGAGGCTGACAGATAGAATGTGATTGGCCATCAGACTCACAACCTCTGGGTGACATCATCCATACAGGGTCCAGCTGGTTCTCAAGCTTCAAAGGCACCTCAGAGGAGTAAAGTGCTGATACATGGAACAACACGGGTGAGCCTAGAAGAGTTCACATTAAGTAAAAGGAGCCAAAAGTCACATACGAAATGATTCCATTTCTAAAAAATATCCAGAATAGGCAAATCCATAGAGACAGCAGATTTGTGATTGCCAGGGGCTGGGGGGGAGGCGAGAATGGGGAATGATGGATAATGGGTACAGGGTTTCCTTTCCGGATGAAGTTCTGGAGCTAGAGAGTGCATGTATACTTTAAAATGGTTAAAATGGTAAATGTAACATTACCACCAAAGAGAGAGAGAGAAATTGAAGAAACACCTTGGGAATGTATTGAAAATATAGATTCCAAGACTCAGCACTCAGAGATCATGGTCAGAGATTTAATAATAAATCATTTCAGGATGATGCTACCTCAAGTGTGTCTGTGGACCAGCAGCATCTAGCAGGTCACATAGGTACTGGGTAGGAATGCAGAATCTCAGGCCACAGCCCAGACGTAAATCAGAATCACCCAGTCTGGTAACTGGAATGCCCTGGAATGTTTGAGAAGGATCCCTTAGCAGACGCCTTTGCAGGAGGCTTCCTCAGACCACACACACATTCACAAGCTGCAGGGACACTGCAGGCCCAGTAACTCTCAAGGTGGTGCGTGGCTTACTATTAAGAAGAAAAGCTTGTTATAAAACAGTAAATTCAGGATGGTCATATTTTGAGAGGAAAGGGATATCTATATATATATAAATTAAATGATTGGGGGGAAGATATCGAGAAAAGGGAATCTTTGAGCACTGTTGGTGGGAATGTAAATTGGTGTGGCCACTGTGGAAAACAGTATGCAGTGTCTTCAAAAAATTAAAACTAGAACAACCATATGATCCAGCAATCCCACTTCAGATATATATACTCAAAGGAAATGAACTCACTATCACAAAGAGATATCTGCACTCCCATATTGCAGCATTATTCACAGTAGCTAAAACATGGAAACAACTTAAGTATCCCTCAGTGGATGACTAGATGAAGGAGATGTGATGCAGATATACAGTGGAATATTATTCAGCTATGAGGAGGGGGGACATACTGCCATTTGCAACAACGTGGAGGAACCTGGAGGACATCATGCTAAGTGAGATAAGTCAGACTGAGAAAGACCAATACTGTATGATACCACTCATGTGTGGAATCTAAAAAATACTTTGAAATTGTAGAAACAAGGAGTGGAATGGTGGTGACCAGGGGCTGGGAATGGGGGACATGGGAGATGCTGGTCACAGGGCACAAACTTCCAGCCACAAGATGAATAAGTTCTGGGGGTATAATGTGCAGCACAGTGACATATTATTAGTTAATAATAATATGTATTTGAAATTTACTAAGAGAGTAGATCTCCAGGGTTCTCACCACACGCACGAAAAGGATAATTGTGTGAGGTGATGGATGTGTTAATTAACTGGATTGTGGTGATCATTTCACAGTGTATACATATATCAAAACACCACATTGTACAATATATACAATTTTTGCATGTCAATCATACCTCAAAAAAACTGGAAAAAAATCCAGCTTTGGGGGGAGTTGTCTCTCTGTTTTCATGTATTACTTGTGTAATAACCAAGTATATACAATAATTGAATAAAACATATAATCTATATTAATTGATATACGTACACCTACATGTATATATGCATATGCATACATACACATGTCTATCTGTCTGTCCATCCATCTGTCCATTCATCTATCTATCTGTCATCATCATCATGATACTCAAAATGCTGCATTGTATTTACACTTTAGTAGCCAGCCTCCAAGATGATGCCCAGCCACCACCTCCTGTCCTGGGATTCATACCCTCCTGTAGCTTCTTCCACTCTGAATGGGGCTGAGCTGTGTAACCAAAAAGATATTGCAAAAATGAGGGTGTGTCCAAGGCTGGTTCATCAAAGACACTGTGGCATCTGCCTTGCTCTCTCTGGGACCACTCCTCTGAGGGAACTGAGAGCTGCAATGAGAAGCCATTGAAGCCACCCCAAGGAGTAGTCCATGAGTCAAGGAACTGAGGCCCCTGTGCTAACAGCTAGAGAGGACCTGAAATTTCCTGCTAACAGTTTGACAGTCATATGAGTGAGCCAACCAACCTGGACACAATCCTCCTGTCTCTGCCAAGCCTTTGGAAGACTATGCCCCAATTGGTTACCCCAAGCCAGAACCACCCAGTTTCAGCCACTTCCAAATTCCTGACCCAAAAGCCCCAAGTGAGACATATATATTTATTGTTGTTTTAGGCTGCTAGAGTTAATCAAAAGTAGATTAAAATCTGATGTCCTTACAGCGGGCCCACTATTATTTCTCTGATCTTATCATTAACTACTCTCCTCTGATACAGTCCCACAGGCCTCCTTGCTGGAAGTCAAACTTTCCTCATCTCAAGGTCTTTTCCTGTTGTTATTTCTGCTGGGAAAGCCCCACCCACAGATCTCTGCAGGGCTCATCTTGTCACCAGCTTCAGTTCTCTGCTGGAATGTCACCTCCTTGGGGAAGACCTTCCCTGATAGCCCTGGGCAGGAGGAGAGCTCAACTGCCCCAGCCATCCCCCTACTCTGCTATTGTGTGGCGGCCCCAGGACTGGCTACATAATAATTTGTGGGTCCCAGAACAAAATGGAAATTCAAAGCCCCTTGGTCAAAAATTATTAAGAATTTCAAGATGGTGACAGCAGAGCATTAAACAAGTATGGGGCCCTTGTCGACTGCACAGGTCACATGCCTACAAGGCAGGCATCACACAGTATGTATCCCAGCCTGATGTCATATATCTCTTGGTTTATTTGTTCACTGTCCTCCCTAGCTAGACCATGCACTCTGGTAGGGCAGGGACCTTTGTTTTGTTCACAGCTGAGTCTCCAATATCAAGGGCAGTGCCTGGCACATCCTTGGAATTTGATAAAGATTTGCTGAATGATTGAATGAATAACAACAACTAAAGAAGTCTGATCCTGGAGCGTTGGGGGCCTAGGCAAAAAAGGTGAAGGGTTAAGAAGTACAAATTGCTAGTTATGAAAACAGTGACAGGGATGTGAAATACAGCACAGGGAATAGAGTCAATAATATTGTAATAACTATGTATGGTGCCAGGTGGGGACTAGACTTATCAAGGGGATCACTTCGTAAATTATATGTGCTGTACAACTGAAACTAACATAATATTATATGTCAACTGGAATTGGAAAAAAAAAAGTTGCATACTAAAGAATGGGGAAAATTTTTGCAAAGCACATATCTGATAAAGGACTGGTAATCCAAAAATATAAACAATACTTATATCTTAGTAACAAAAAGACAAACAACCCAATCAAAACATGGCCATTGGATCAGCATAGACATTTCTCCAAAGGAGATATATAAATAGCCAACAAGCACATGAAAAGATGCTCAATATCATCAGTCATTAAGGAAATTAAAATCGAAACCACAATGAGATATTGCTTCACACCGACTAAGATAGCTATAATCAAAAAGACATAATACCAAGCCCTGTTGAGGATGTTGAGACATTGAATGTTCCTGAACTGCTGGTGGGATGTAAATCGGGGCAGGCACTGTGGAAAACAATCTGGCAGTCCCTGAAAACATTTCAATATGACCCAGCAATTCCCTTCCCAAGAGAAATGAAAACACATGTCCACACAAAATCTTGTACATGAGTGTTCATTGCAGCATTGTTTACAAGAGCCCAAAGGTCAGATTAACCCAAATATCCATCAACTTAACAGTGAATAAACAAAATGTGGAAAGGAAATTCTAACACAGACTACGATATAGATGGACCTTGAAGACATTATGCTCAGTGAAATAATCCAGACTCAAAAAGACAAATACTATATGATTCCACATATATGAGGTACCTAGAATAGTCAAATGCATAGAGAAACAAAGTAGAATGGTGGTTGCCAGGGGCTGAGAGGAAGGGGGAATGGGGAGTTATTATTTAACAGGCACATAGTTTCTGTTTAGGAAGATGAAAAAGTTCTGGAGGCGTATGGTGGTGATGGTTACACAATAATGTGAATGTGCTTAATGTCACTGCATTCTACACTTAAAAATGGTTAAAGGGGCAAAATTTATGTTATGTGTATTTTACCACAATAAAAATTTGAGAAAAAAATTCATATTTAATGGTGAAAAATTGAAAGCTTTTCCTTTGAAACCTTGAACAAGACAGGGATGCCCCCTTACCACTGCTTTCAGCGCCATACTGAAGACATAGCCACTGCAGTAAGGCAAGAAAAATAAATGCAAGGCATAAAAAATTTAAAAGAAACAAAACCATCATGAGTCATAGATATGATTATGTATCTAGAAAATCCCAAAGAAGCTCCCGATAAAATATCAGAATTGATAGAATTCAGCAAAGTTGCTGGATACAAAAATCAATATATGAATGTCAATTGTATTTCTTTTTATCTCTGTGTTAGGCATGTTTGCAAATTCTCTAGGAAGATGTATAGGACTCAGCACAGACTTGTATTCATGGCTAAGATTTACTGCAGTGCTGTAGGATCATAAGGCAGAGACCGAAGGAATCTATGTGCAGGTTTCCTTGTGCTTTCTCTCTCCCATGAGGGTCCCACAGAACTCACTCTTTC